CAGCCCCCTCTCTCGGCCACTGTCACGCTCACTGTGGCCGTGGCCGACAGGATCCCCGACATTCTAGCCGACCTGGGCAACCTCGAGCCCTCTGCCAAAATCGACGACTCGGACCTCACTCTGTACCTGGTGGTGGCGGTGGCCACGGTCTCCTGCATCTTCCTGGCCTTCGTCATCGTGCTGCTGGCGCTCAGGCTGCGGCGCTGGCACAAGTCACGCCCGCTGCAGACTTCGGAAGGTGGCTTGGGGAGCGTGCCGGGTTCGCACTTTGTGGGCGTGGACGGGGTGCGGGCTTTCCTGCAGACCTATTCCCACGAGGTCTCCCTCACCGCGGACTCGCGGAAGAGTCACCTTATCTTCCCCCAGCCCAACTATGCGGACACGCTCATCAGCCAGGAGAGCTGTGAGAAAAGCGAGCCTCTTCTGATAACTCAGGATTTACTTGAAACGAAAGGAGACTCCAAGCAACTTCAGGTGAGTTTATTTCTTTGAATATTATGAAGAACAATTATGCAAATTTTTGTCATTATAAAGCTTTAACACATATGTATTTGAAAAATAAAGCCATGAGGCTGCCGTTAGTTCTGTTGGCTAAGTATTTGTCCCTTTCTGGGCCTGTAGCAGGACTGCGCTCCTTGGTCTGGTTATGGTTGAGTGGGCTTAGGGAACCAATAATACATTGTGAGTGGAAGTAAGGTGTGTCACTTCCTAGAGAAATCTGCCTTTGTGAGAATTTCCAGATCTCTAAGTTACTATTTGAAATTGTAACTGCTCCTTCTGCCTGGGTCCTTGAGTAACTATGATGGGAGAACCACAACACTGGTCTGTATACCTGTGATAAAGGACTTTTTCATTTTAAATCCCTGTGCTTTGGAATTTGTCATTCCAGACTATAGAGCCTATCCTGATATGTACAAGTAAAAATACATATGAATAAAAGAAATTTTATGCACCCATGAAATTATGTTTGACTCCTTCCAAGGCAGCGCTCTCCTCTTTGTTTATTTCTTTCTTCCATTCTTTCCTTCCTTCCTTCCTTCCTTCTTTCCTTCCTTCCTTTCTTCCTTCCTT